AAGTTCCAGCAATTTGCCTTAATGAACGACGCCATCTAGTTAACGTTAATAATTAATAAATAAATAAAATTTATTTTTGAAATAAATATCTCGCAAATTTTCTTATGTTGGCAACAGTGACATAGGAGCGCCGCCATATTCAGTTTGTTTAACGAAGTTTCTTCACCTGTCAAACTGTCAAACTGTCAAACAAACTATTAATGGACTGATGAAACATTTAATTTTTATTTATTTAATTATTCAACATATATTATTGATTAATGTTAAAATAAATTATATATATAATATATAAGTATAATTAGTAGTGTGTATTAAAAGGCAGTGTTTGTGAGATTGATTGATAAACATAAAGGTAGTGTAAAATACTTTGAGGTTATGTCACTAGGTTAATTTGTCATAATGTTTATTTTATACAGAAAGAACTATAAATATTTAATTTTAAATATAGGTAGGCAATAGATAATTAAAGCTAAATTGTACTTTTGTATATTTCAGCTCTGCAATAAGCCAAAAGTTTGGAACAAATAGTTTCACCTTCTGTCGAATAGATTTTGAGGAAGGGGCCATCTGGCGACATACATTGTCCAAAACAGACTACAGTTAATTTAATGTAAGAATAGATTTGAATATAAAACTTGCTTAAAAAATAAATCCAACCATTGAGGAAATCTGGATATTGATTTACACACTTCTGTGAAATATTAAACTGGATAAATCCACTCCATTCTCAACTATCAATAACTAGTTCAATTATCATATTAGCAATAGCTCATTAATAGTAATTAACTACTTTTGTCAATACTTACAGAATACACGCAGTGCACAAGTATTTCAAAATGTCAGAAGCTGTGTGATGATCCGATAATTAAAATTGAACCACAAGAATATCCAATCGAAGACATCAAAGAGGAAATTGAAGAAGACCCTGAATCCTATTCAGAGGATGACGAAACGTGTCTGAAAAGGTTCAGAAATTCCATAGTAAAAATCGAAGAAGAATCTCAACAGAATATAATTCAGAGTCCTCCTTATAAATGTAACAAGTGTAATAGAACATTTAGAAAGTTGCATAATTTAGAACAGCATATGGTAAATCATAGTCATAAGTGTACTGATTGTTCAAAGACTTTTTCAGATGCAAGTACATTAAAAGTACATCTGAGAAGTCACACGGTTGCAAATCATTTTGTATGTACAAAGTGTGATGAAGCATTTACTACAAAATATCATCTGGATCAACACATTTGTCCTTGTTCCACAAACAATTAGATGAAATTATAGTTAAAATTGAACCTGAAGAATTCCAATTGAAAATATTCAACAAGAAATAAGAAATAGAAAAAGAGCCTGAAGAATATTCAGATGATGATAAAACATGTCTTAAGAGATTCATGAATTCTATAGTAAAGATAGAAGAAGAAACCCCAACAGGAATTATTCAGAATCTTCCTTATAAATGTAATAGAACGTTTAGAAAGTTGCAATATTTAGAACAGCATATGGTAAGTCATAGTCATAAGTGTACTGATTGTTCAAAGACTTTTCATGATGCAAGTGCATTAGAAATACATCTAAAATCTCATACAGGGGAAAAAACATTCCAAATGTACAAATTGCAATAAAACATTTAATAAATATGATTTAGATCTGCACATTTGTGCTCGTGCCAAAGAACAAAACTTGAATGAATCTGGTAATCGAAAACAAATATTCATGCTGCAAAGAGACCGTATAAATGTCAACAATGTGATAAAGCATTCATAAGATTGAGTTATTTGGATCGTCATATGCTCCTTCACACTGGGGACGCTCTAATAAATGTACAATATGTGATAAGGCATTTGCACATTTGAGTAGCTTGAAACAACATATGCTCATTCACACTGGGGAACGTCCTAACAAATGTACAATATGTGCTAAGACTTTTACTCAATCGAGTAGCTTGAAACAACATATGCTTATTCACACTGGGGATCGCCCTAATAAATGTTCAATATGTGATAAGGCATTTGCACAATTGAGTAACTTGAAACAACATATGCTCATTCACACTGGGGAACGTCCTAACAAATGTGCAATATGTGCTAAGACTTTTACTCAATCGAGTAGATTGAAAACAACATATGCTTATTCACACTGGGGATCGCCCTAATAAATGTACAATATGTGATAAGGCATTTGCACATTTGAGTAGCTTGAAACAACATATGCTCATTCACACTGGGGAATTTCGTAACAAATGTACAATATGTGATAAGACATTCTTACGATTGGATAGTTTGAAAAGACATATGCTCGTTCACACTGGTGAACGCTCTAATAAATGTACAATATGTGATAAGGCATTTGCACAATTGAGTAACTTGAAACAACATATGCTCATTCACACTAGGAACGTTCCTAACAAATGTACAATATGTGCTAAGACTTTTACTCAATCGAGTAGCTTGAAACAACATATGCTTATTCACACTGGGGATCGCCCTAATAAATGTACAATATGTGATAAGGCATTTGCACATTTGAGTAGCTTGAATAAACATATGCTTACTCACACTGGTGAACGAGCTCATATTTGTAATATGTGGTAAGAAGTTTATACATTTGTGCCATTTGAAAGATCATATGTTCATTCACACTGGTGTACGAGCCTATATTTGTAGAATATGTGGTAAGAAGTTCATACGTTTGAGTCATTTGAATCAACATATGCCCATTCACACTGGTGAAAGCTGTAATAAATGTACAATATGTGATAAGACATTTAGACAATCGAGTAGCTTGAAACAACATATGCTCATTCACACTGGGGAGCGTCCTAACAAATGTACAATATGTGATAAGACTTTTAGACAATTGAGTAGTTTGAAACAACATATGCTCATTCACACTGGGGAACGTCCTAACAAATGTACAATATGTGATAAGACTTTTACACATTCGAGTAGCTTGAAACGACATATGCTCATTCACACTGGGGAACGTCCTAACAAATGTACAATATGTGATAAGACTTTTACACATTCGAGTAGCTTGAAACAACATATGCTCATTCACACTGGGGACGTCCTAACAAATGTACAATATGTGATAAGACTTTTAGACATTGAGTAGCTTGAATAGACATATGCTCGTTCACTCTAGGCAAAATATGTGATAAGACATTCACAGATCCAAGTGTCTTGAATAAGCATATGCAAATTCACATTGGTGACCGTCCACACAAATGTAAGATATGCAAGAAGGCATTCATATATTCATAAGCTTGACAGGACAAATGTTGGGGTAATTATAAGTATTCAATAATGGATTTACATAATCAGGAACTGATACATGACTGATAGAAACTAGTGGTGTATGGCATTGTGCCTTAAGGCAAATTGTTGGAAGTTCTTGTACCGTAACGAAATGTTTCAGGAATATTAAGTGTTTTCAAATAGCTTATCATAAATAAATATTGTAACATTGTCTAATATTTTTAAGAAATATATAAACAATAAATTTTTGAAAAAAAAAAATTTCAAACAATATTTTTTTCCGAAAGAAATTGTTTTGTTAAACGAGCAGAAAGTTTTTTAATCATTCATATCGGACCCTTAGTTCTCAAAACTGCAATTTTTTGCATATTTAGCTCTGTATCTTCGAAATGGCTGGACCTACCTTTGCCAAAAACTAATCACCTCTCCTCCCAATCATTACAAATTGGATGTTTTTAGATCATTCAAACCGGATACTCCGTTCTCTCAAAAACTCTATTTCTATTTTCTGCACTCTTTGCCTTGTATCTCCGTCACGGCTGGAGCTGCCTTTGCCAAAAACTAATCAGTACATCTCCCTATCAATAGGAAACGAATGTTTTTTGAACCATTCAAATCGGTTGAACCGTGCGCTCGAAAACATGGACAAAACACACACACACATACATCCATTTTTGTGAGGTATGCCAAAATGTTCAGAAACCTTCAAACGTAAAGATATGCAAAACATTTCATTTTCGATTTTCGGCCCATTACTATTACTACCCTACGGGAAGTTAATAATAATAATTTTATTTTTTGTATCAACAATAGGTTTTATATTTATTTTGTAAACCAAAAGACCAATTGATTAAACGTTTTCATTTCATAACAGATTTATGTGATCTTTAAATTAAATATAATTTTGAATTTGGTGCTTTATAACATAATAATCCATGGATTTTTGACATGAAAGGAAAAATATGTATATGTTTGAGACGTTTGAAATGAGTGAAAAAGCATGGACATTCACTTTTGATATGAAAATTTGAAGGGAAAAACGTGTATGTCTTTTGACATGCCATGGATCGCTAGTTAACTTTAATAATTAATATTTTTTTTTTTTATTTCTTTCTTTTTTTTATTTACAACTGTCCTGAAACGGACAACAAGTAAAATATTTGTCATAAAACTGAAGGCATTGGCAAAATACAAATCAGCTGACCATTGCCAGTGATTTGTCGAAGGTCTTATCTATTGTTGATTAATACAGAAGAATTTTTTTTTAATCGGGCCCTGGTAGAGCTGTTCTAAAGTTTTCTGGCGAGCAATTTCGGGTGATCAGCTAGGCGATTTCTATATTTGTGTGAGTAAGCGATTATTTTATTCTTAACTGTGCTAGTGCCTGTGTCTTTGTGTATTAACCAAATTGGAACATACTTTGGTGCTTTCAAAATTTATTTTAATAACTTGTTTTGAAATCTTTGAATTATGAAAGCGTTTGAGTTGGAAGTTGATCCCCATAGCTGTATGCCGTATGTCCAAATTGGTTTAATGATAGCTTCATAGAGGTAAATTTTATTATGCGTGTCAAGTTTTGATTTTTGTCCGAGGAGCCAATAATATCTTCTTTTGGTTTCTTCAAGCTGCTTCCTCTTTTTCTTAATGTGTTCCTTCCAGGTGTAAACCTAGATATTTGACTGTATCTGTTTGATCTATAATTTTGTCATTAAGTCTTACTGCAGGACAAGTCCCTTTGCAAAGAGTTAAAATGATGTGTTTTGACTTGCTGCTGTTGACTTCTATACTCCACAAGTTTAACCATTTTTGTAATAAAATAAATAAATTAATTAATTATTTTTGAAATAAATATCTCGTTAATATTCTTATGTTGGCAACGTTGACAATAGAACGCCGCCATGTTCAATCGAAGTTCGTTTAACTGTCAAACAAATTATTTTAATGAACTGATCTTACATTTTATTTGTCATCTATTTAATTATTAACAGAGATATTGATTAAATGCTATAATAAATATATTCTATAAAGATATAAGTATAATTATTATTTTATTTTAAAGTGCAGTATTTATGAGATTAATTGATAAACATAAAGGTAGTGTAAAATACTTTGAGGTTATTTATCATGATTAACTTTTTAGTATATTTATTTCTTACAGAAAGAAACTATAAATATTTAATTTTTAATATAGGTAGGCAATGGATAATTAAAGCTCGATCGTGCTTTTTTATATTTCAGTTCTGCAATAAGCCAAAAGTGTGAAACAAATAGTTTCACATCTGTCAAAAAGATTTTGAGGAAGGGGTCATCTTGAAGGAATACTTTATTCAAAATTGACTACAGTTAATTTAATGTGAAAATAGATTTGAAGGTAAAACTTGTAAGATATAAACCATTCTGTGAAATATTACAACTGGATGAATGATTTTCTTTCTAAAACATTTTATTCTCGAACTGTCAATAACTAGTTAAATTATCAGATTTAGCAATAGCTCATTAATAGTAATTAACTACTTTTGTCAATACTTACAGAATACATGCAGTGCACAAGTATTCAAAATGTCAGAAGCTGCTTGATGATCCGATAATTAAAATTGAACCACAAGAATATCCAATCGAAGACATCAAAGAGGAAAATTGAGAAGACCCTGAATCCTATTCAGAGAATGACGAAATATGTCTGAAAAGGTTCATGAACTCTGTAGTAGATAGAAGAAGAAACTCCAACAGGAATCAATTGAAACTTCCCCTTATAAATGTGACAAGTGTAATAGAACATTTAGAAGTTGCATTATTTAGAACAGCATATGGTAAATCATAGTCATAAGTGTTGATTGTTCAAAGACTTTATCAGATGCAAGTACATTAGAATACATCTGGAAGTCACACGGTTGCAAGTCATTTTGTATGTACAAAGTGTGATGAGCATTTACTACAAAATATCATCTGGATCAACACATTGTCCTTGTTCCACAAAAAAATAGATGAAATTATAGTTAAAATAGAACCTGAAGAATTTCCAATTGAAAATATTCAACAAGAAATAGAAAAAGAGCCTGAAGCATATTCAGATGATTTAAAACATGTCTTAAGAGATTCATGAATTCTATAGTAAAGATAGAAGAAGAACCCCAACAGGATTAATTCAGAATCTTCCTATAATGTGACAAATGTAATAGACATTTAGAAAGTTGCAATATTTAGAACAGCATATGGTAAGTCATAGTCATAAGTGTCTGATTGTCAAACTTTTCTGATGCAAGGCATTAGAAATACATCTAAATCTCATACAGGGGAAAAACATTCCAAATGTACAAAGTGCAAAAAGCATTTAATAAATATGATTTAATCAAACACATGTGTTCGTGCCAGAGAACAACATTTAAAATTGAATGAATCTCGTAATCGAAAACAAATTATTATGTGATGATACTGCAAAGAGACCTTATAAATGTCAACTATGTGATAAAGCATTCCTAAGATCGAGTCATTTGGATCGTCATATGTTTGTTCATACTGGGGAACGTCCTGAAAAATGTAAAATATGTGGTAAGACATTTACACGGTTGGATAATTTGAATCATCATATGCTCATTCACACTGGAGAACGCCCCCACACATGTAAAATATGCTGTAAGACATTCACACAATCAAGTACCTTGAATGAACATATGCCAACTCACACTGAGGAACGTCCTAAAAAATGTGAAATATGTGGCAAAACATTCAAGCAATCTAGAGACTTGAAAAGACATATGTTCATTCACACTGAGGAACGTCCTTACAAATGTACAATATGTGATAAGGCATTTGCACAATCAAGTGTCTTGAAACGACATATGCTCATTCACATTGGGGAACTTTCTCATATTTGTAAAATATGTGGTAAGGCATTCACACAGTTAAGTAATTTGAATAAACATATGCTCATTCATACAGGGGAGCGCTCTAATAAATGTACAATATGTGATAAGACATTCTCACGATTGGATAGTTTGAAACAACATATGCTCATTCACACTGGGGAACGTCCTAACAAATGTACAATATGTGATAAGACTTTTACACATTCGAGTAGCTTGAAACGACATATGCTCATTCACACTGGGGAACGTCCTAACAAATGTACAATATGTGATAAGACTTTTACACATTCGAGTAGCTTGAAACAACATATGCTCATTCACACTGGGGAGCGTCCTAACAAATGTACAATATGTGATAAGACTTTTAGACAATTGAGTAGCTTGAATAGACATATGCTCGTTCACTCTAGGCAAAATATGTGATAAGACATTCACAGATCCAAGTGTCTTGAATAAGCATATGCAAATTCACATTGGTGACCGTCCACACAAATGTAAGATATGCAAGAAGGCATTCATATATTTATACAGCTTGACAGGACATATGTTGATTCACAGTGGGGTAATTGTAAGTATTCAATAATGGATTTACATAATCAGTAACAGATACATGACTGCTGATAGAAATAATAATAATAATTTTATTGTAATTTTTTGTATCAACAATAGGTTTTATATTTATTTTGTAAACCAAAAGACCAAATTGATTAAACGTCTTTATTTCATAACAGATTTATGTGATCTTTAAATTAAATGTAATTTTGAATATGGTACTTCAAATTGGATTAAGTGGATTAAGTTAAACAACACATAAACAAATATTGATTTTGCAACTTCACTCATCATGTAATTGTGTTTGAAGAACTTCATGTAATTAAAATTAACATACATTCATTGACTGCTTGTATTGTTTTTACTTTTTCGCTGGCGATGTAATCTCATTCTGTGAACAGCTGTGATATCTGTCTTGCCTAAAAAATATTTGCCATTTTAATAACTTCACAGATTTATGAAAACTACAAATAATATAGAAATAATTTCTAATCAATAAACTTACGTTAAGTATACGGCCCAATTGTTAAATTTGCTTTATTATTTTTATTATAATTATTTACGGGGGACATGGTAAAATATTTTTCTGATTCAGGCATTTTTCATTAAATCAAGATTTGTACTACGATGTAACTCTTAAATGTTTATCTATGCCGATTTCTTTGTCGATATCAGTACGCATACAACGTTGATTCCGGTTCGCATACAACGACAGATCTCTATTCACATACACGACGACTAATCACAATCGACCCGTATAGAAATGATCTCATCCTGAGCGAATGACGAACTGTTTCGCCGTAACGGACTTCCGTTGCATTTGTACGGATTTACATTCTAGTCGCGCCTAAAGAAGTTTTACTTAAAAAAGAAACTAAAACCAAAAGGTGGAAAGTTAATGATAATAAAAAACATTTTTGCTGTATTCTTTACAAGTTCTTTACAAAAACTATGTTTAATATTTTGGTTTGCAATTTACAATTCTAGGGTAATACATGTTTAGCTATATGCTATAGCATTAATGCACATTTTATTTTTTTATAACTTTTGAAGCTTATGTTTTTGCCAGAAAATCTGACTTTTGAATTATTTGGCCCTAAATTTGGAAAATATTATTCTAATCAGAATACTTACAATACTTTCTAATAAGAATCACAATACTCTTCTTTTATGTACTCTGTTTTGTTGGTAGCTACTGATTACAGTTGACCTCCACACTTAAATAAAATACATTTTTAGGCCTCGAAATGTATAAAATAAAATGTGTTAAACAGTTTAATTTAATTTATACATATAAGTATGTTTGGAAGAAATCAATTGGAAATAATATTGATTATTGTCAATTGTATTGACATTCAATATTTATAACTCCAAACTTAGACTTTTGCTCCAAAATTTATAACTCTGAGTTAATTCATTAAGAATTTTATTTTGTAAATGTGATATTTTGGTCTTTGGAAGTGTAACTTTTTTATGAAATGTATTTAGATCCATAAAGATTAAATTTTTTTAAAATATGTTGCTTAAGAAATATTTGATGGGCGGCTTGTTGGCTCTCACAGTAGTGTCACTTTAGGAGTTTACTTTAAGTATAAGAAACTATATGAAATTGTTCTTGAAAAAAAATAATTGTTGAAACTTTGTTAATACACATTTTTGCTGTATACACTTTACAAAAACAATATATAATATTTTGATTTGCAATTTATAAAAACAAATTGTTATAGATGTTATAAAATATTTAATATATTTTTTCCCGGAGAAGAAGTTTGTTTCGCCAGAAAATCCGACTTGCTTATTTTATATTTACTCAACATTTCAAGTCATTCAGAGTTACTTGATCCCAATTTGAAAAAAATGTGTGTATGAGCCAAAATTTGACCTTTCGTCGATATTAAGACACTGTGCCACTTACACCTAACGAAAAAATTATAATACATATTTACCGCTTTTAAATTTATCACTTCGATCAATTTGAATTTGAATTTGAATTTTTAAAAAATTAACGTTTATTTCGCATCGGGTACTCCTAACTAACAAAAAGCATCTTCATTGCAATTTGTTGCAAGTTGTGAGTTGTGAGCGAATATTATGAATGAAATAAAAATATAAAAATGATTTTATAGTGTTGGCACTTCGGACAATTATTGCTTGAATATTGTACTATTGTGTGACAATAACGCATTTTATTGTCATCAGCTAATAACGCCATAATTATTGTGTAAATATCAGAGGTTATGTTCAACATGTGTTTTGGAATAAGTGATACAATTAATAACAAAATATTATTGAAGTATTGTGAGTATGCTGAAATATTGTTAAAATATTGTTCATCATTGTCATTTTATTTAATTGTATTGTCATTTGCAGGTTTTTGCTGATTTTCGGATAATTCATGGAAGGTTATGTTTGTGTTGTGGCTTTGTACATTTTTGTAAATTTTTTACAGAAGATGGATTTGACAGAGTACTGTGAGTATGCAGAAGTATTATTTATGTATTGAACTTTGATGTGACTATATTTAATATTATTGACATTTGTTGAGTTTGGCAAATTTTAAACATTCGAGAATATAGCTCATTTTATTGAAAAATTTATCGAATGCGTTGGCTTTATGCAATTTTATTTAAAAAAAATGGAATTAACTATGTATTGTAAGTATGCATCAGATATATTATCCTAGTATTGAACTTTGATGTGACAATAGTTAATAATATTGTCATACATCTTTATCAAATTTTAAATAGTGGAGAATATTTTCTGATGTATATATTATGTATATACATTTACATACACATACACATATATATGTATATATATATATATATATATATATATATATATATATATATTTATACAGCTATACACAAAAGTATTGACTAGTATTGACCTAGTTCATGGTGGCAACTTTTATAATTTTATTTTTGTTAGCATTTCTTTCTAACCTAAATGGAATTGATAAAGTATTGTGAGGATGCAGATGTATTGCTCTAGTATTGAGCTTTGATGTGACAATAGTTAATGACATTGTCATACGTCTTGTTTGCCACATTTTAAATAGTCGAGAATATTTTATGAAGTGTCTATAATATATATATATATATATATATATATATATATATATATATATATACAGTTATACAAAGAAGTGAATTATCTGGGTGTTGATTTTCTTTATGACAATACTTAATTTTATTGGCCTTAATATTTTTTTCTAAATTTTGAATAATTTTTCGGAACTCCTGGATTTGTGCAACTTTATTTAAAAAAATTGAATTATAAAATATTGTGAATATATTGAAGTATTGTCTAAATATTGAACTTTTATGTGACAATATTTAATTATATTGTCATTTATGTCAAATTTTAACTAGTCGAGAATATAGATATATTGAATAGATAGTTTGATAATATATAGATTATATGTATATAATTATATATATATATATATATATATATATATATATGCAGCTATACACAAAAGTATTGACTAGTATTGATCTTATTCATGGTGACCAAACTTATAATTTTATTGTCGTTTGCATTTTTTTCCAATTCTTGAATAATTTATTCAATATGATGGCTTTGTGCAATTTTATTTTAAAAAATTGAAGAAATAAAGTATTCTAATTATGCAGATGTATTGTCTAAGTATTGAACTTTGATGTGACAATATTTCATAATATTGCCATTTATGTCAAATTTTAACTAGTTGAGAATATAGTTTGATGATACATAAATAATATATATATATATATATATATATATATATATATACAAAAGTATTGACTAGTATTGTTCTTGTTATAATGGCAATACTTAAATTTTATTGTCGTTTGCAGAAATTTTCTAAATTTTGAATAGTTTATTGAATATGTTGGCTTTGTGCAATTTAATTTCAAATGATGAAATTAACAAAGTATTCTAATTATGCAGATGTATTGTCTAGGTATTGAACTTTGATGTGACAATATTTATTTTTGTTGTCATTTGTTTAGTTCGTCAAATATAAATATTGAGAATAGTGTTTGATGAATCTATACACGAAAGTGTTTGGTGCATACATAAATAAGTATATGGTATATGTGTATGCAGTTTTAGTATTGATCTTCATTATGACAATACTTAATGTTATTGTCGTTTGCGAAATTTACTAAATTTTGAATAGTTTGTTCAAATTATAGTTTATTATATGTTGGCTTTGTGCAATTTTATTTAAGAAAAAATGGAATTAACAAAGTATCGTAAATATACTAAAGTTTTGTCTAAGCATTGAACTTTGATGTGACAATATATATTTTCTTTTATTGTCGATTAGTCAAGTTTTACATAATTCAAGATGCTGTTCGGAGTTGAATGTTGATGATTTGAATTATGACAATAATCTCAGCATTAGTATTAAACTTCATTGTGACAATAACGTATTTTTATTGTCATTTGTTTAATATGCCAAATTTTTAGTAGTCGATGGTGTTGTTTAGAGTGCAATGTTACATCAAATTGTGAAAAAATATACAAAAATATAAAAGTATTGTCTTAATTCAGATTTTATTGTGACAATATTTGATTGCTATTTGCTAATTTTGACTAATTTTAAATAATTAGTGTAAGATGTGGTATATCGATAGAACAGTCGAGCTACTGATAGAAGTTTATTAAATAATTTATATTATGAGAAAATATTATTAGGTTTATTAAATAATTTATATTATGAGAAAAAATGATTAAGTTTATTAAATAATTTCTATACCAGTCTACCTATCAATCTGCCTACAAGTTTATTTTCTTACATTCATAGTTTTTTACCTGTGTACCTGTCTACCTCTTCACCTATTTATATGTGCACTTCATTGATTACCTATCTACATGTCCATCTGTTTACCTGCATACCTCTCTACTTGTTTACCAGCCCACCTGTACATCTGGCAGTCTACCACTTTATCTGTCTACCTGTCATCTTTTTTACTCTTTTTACTTGATTACTTGTTTATCTATTCAAAGGACTAGCTGCAAACCTTTCTGGCTGTCTACCAGTTATAACTGCCAATTTTCTTACGTATATACTTTTCATTTTTCTACTTTTTACCTGTCTACCTGTCTACTTGTCCACTTGTCCACTTGTCCACTTGTCTACTTGTCTAACT